GGAAATAGTTCCGAGGTTGCACATTGTCATTCTGCTGGAGTAGGAATGTTGCTTAAAATTGTCCTGGCTCAGTTCCCTTTCTCTGGAAGGGTAAAAGACACTCATTTGCCCAATACATGGACTTTGGAGTCAAGCTGACAGTACTGGAAGAGCTGTTAACAGAGTCCAGATCATCACTTTATGGTTAGAGGGAGGACGTTTTATTACGGGCCCACAAACCGTCTTCCAACTGTGGCTGAAAACCCTGTCATGAGAGGCCAGAAGGAAGATCATTGTATGTTCTTCTCCCAGGCCAAGGAGACAGGATGTCCTTCATCAGAACCAATTGTCAGCATAAGAAGAACACACACCAAGGAAATCCATTTCCTGGAAACATCTCTCAACAGTTCCCATGTGGAGAATATGTGAGGCTTTTCACAGCAAATGTTTTAGAGTGTTCCCAGGTATCTGCAAAGCTCCTATCATAATAGCTGGCTGTATTGATAATTTCCTAAGGGTGCCTGCCATGAGACAATGGAAAGGGCATCAGGTCTGACCATGGTGAGCCTTGACGGCCTTGCAGAGATAGAGTCAACCCTCTGGGCCTCAGTTTTCTTTTCTATAAAGTGAGTGACTTGGACTCTGTTGGGACCCCTCCACCTCTAAGAGTCTACTAGTCTATGATTCCATGAATCAAACTTCAGAAGTGGTTATGCTCCCTCATAAAATGGCAAAGATTTGGGTCCTAGAATCTCTGACTCCATTAGCAGGACCACACCTCCTCTAGAACTTTTTGGCTTTGTGTTTGTCATCATCTTTTTGAACTAACTGCTCTGATTCAATCTCTTTCACCTGACGACTTGCTTCCACCAGAATTCCATTTAATTCCAGAGATGTTGAATGAAGACTTTCTGTGTTTCCAACTGCATGCCTACAAAGATAAATGAGACTGGTTTCCTAACCTTGGGGAAGTCCAGTGAGATAACAAGGTCAAGACTTTATAGAACTTCTTTTCTCCAGAGAGCTCTCTATTTCTTTGACTTGTATGTGTCCCTAGACCAGTAACATTGACTTCACCAGGGAACTTATTAGAAATGGAAACTTGCAGAATCAGAAGCTCTGGGGTTGTGGTGCACTGGTCTTGTTTTTTTTTTTGTTTTGTTTTTTGTTGTTGTTGTTGTTGTTGTTGTTGTTTTTGAGATGGAGTTCCACTCTTGTTGCCCAGGCTGGAGCGCAATGGCACGATCTTGGCTCATAGCAACCTCTGCCTTCCAGGTTCAAGTGATTCTCCTGTCTCAGCCTCCTGAATAGCTGGGATTACGGGCATGCACCACCACAACCAGCTAATTTTGTATTATTATTATTATTATTTTTAGTAGAGATGCGGTTTCTCCTTGTTGGTCAGGCTGGTCTTGAACTCCCGACCTCAGGTGATCCGCCTGCCTCGGCCTCCCAAAGTGCTGGGATTACAGGCGTGAGCCGCTGTGCACTTGGCCTGGTCTTAGTTTTTAAGAAGTCCTCTAGAGAATTGAGATGCATATTTGAGTTTGAGAACCATTGAACTAGCCCTTTCAGGGACAAGCTATGAGACTGCGGTTCTGAGCCCTCAGGGACCCAAGGAGACATTTTGAAGAAAATTCAGTTACTTGGGCTGCCAGGACTTGGTGTTTTCAACTCAGAATTAGACCTTTCGTGGAACCTCCAACAACATTTTGAACCTTTGTGGTGTTTTTGTAAATGTGCAGGTGTTGTGGAAACTACCCATTTGTTTTGTAGGGAAAGAATCCAATTTAGCACACAATTCTCCATGGAACTTCCAGGCTTCCCTTTAAATTGATTGTGATGCTTGGATAGATACTGACACCATGACTAAGACCCATAATAAAGGCCCAATCCAAGGAGGATCCGCTACTTCCAAAGATCTCCAAAGGAAGAGAGTTCTCAGAGTGCAAGTCTTGCGTGAATTTTCCTCCCTTCAAAGGTGCCTTAATTAATATCCTTCTCCATGGCAGGGTCTAAGCCTGGCCCCTCTTTTCAGCAGATAAAGATTATTGGGTCACATTCTCCCTGCAATAAGTTCAGACATTAAGGGTGGGGCAGGTGTGGCTCTTGGAGAGGGGCCTGCCTGGGTCTTGGGAATGCTCTCCCTTGTCCTCCTTCCCGGGATCTGCAGATCCATCATCCACTGCCCCAATCCAGGGCTATATATAGGCTAAACCATAGGAGCCTTCATGAAAATGAGACACCCCTGCCTTTTTTTTTTTCTTTTTTCTGAGACAGAGTCTTGCACTGTCGCCCAGGCTGGAGTGCAGTGGCACCATCTCAGCTCACTGCAACCTCCACCTCCTGGATTCAAGCGATTCTCCTGCCTCAGCCTCCCAAGTAGCTGGGACTACAGGCACGTGCCACCATGCCTGCCTAATTTTTTGTATTTTTAGTAGAGATGGGGCTTCACAATGTTAGCCAAGATGGTCTCGATCTCCTGACCTCATGATCCACCCACCTCGGCCTCCCAAAGTGCTGGGATTACAGGCGTGAGCCACTGCACCTGGCTGAAAAGCATCCCATTAAGGTGCCTCTTAGGGTGAACTCAGCCCCTGGGACTCAGGGCTTGGCTGGATTTCAGTTCCTCTCACCTCCTTGAGCAGGTGCCTGTGTGCAGCACCAACCACACAGCCATAGCTGTAACCCTGCCCCTACCCAGCCTAGGGCTGGACACGAGTGAGGGCTGATGGAGGGGTGGGCAGGGGAGAAACTATACATGCAGCCAGCACATGTTGGGAGTTCCCACGTACTGGATCCTTCATCACATCATTTCCTTAAATTCTTACAGCTGCCCAACGAGGTGGATAGTGGTTGCACCTCTGTATGTTTTTTTCTTTTTCTAAATTATGAAAGATTTCAAACCCTCAGTGCTCCCATGTTCTCATCTATGCAGTGGGTATGAGGCTTCTTGCTCCTTTCTCAAAAACTTGTTCTGAAAATCAAATGACACCACAGTGACAAAGTGCTCTGGAAAAAAGATGTTAAAACATCCTGCAAATGTTAGGTTTCATATAGATCTTATCGCTGAGACCTCAAAGGCTCAGTTTCTGGGTCCTCTGTTTTGAGACACTCACCCTGGACTCACCCAGCCCCCAGGGTTATGCGTGGGTATGGCAAAAGGTTCGTTTCTTGCCAGGCTACTGGTGTTTGGGGGGTGCCTCCTCTCCCAAAATCATTAGACTTGTAAGGCAGCAAGGATGAGGTGTGTGTGCAGGCACTCAGGGACGAGTCACAGTCTGGCAAGCTGGCCTGGACAGGATGACCTCACGGGCCTTTCCCACTTCTCATTTTTATGACTAGCTTCACTGTTTCATTTTGGCTTTCTCTCTCTTTCTTGCAGCTGTGGTGATTAGGATTTAGGGCAAGCATTTGGGATCCCTTTTCTAATCCCTTTCAAATCCTGATTCAGCTGCAAAGTCCGGGAAGGGAGGAGAGAACGGGGGGAGGAGGGACCCACCCTGGTGAAAGGCAGTAGCTCAGAATATCCGAGAAACTCCAACGGGAATGTCCAGCCTCCACCCACTGAGGCTGGAGGCCTCTCATCTCATCCAATATCATCCTAATGCTAGAAACCCAAAAGGGATGAGTTTGTCTATGGACTCAAACCTTTTACAGCCTTCTTGCTTAGATGCTTAAGGCATAAATATGGTAGTCATGGTGGTAAGGGAAAGACTTAACATTTGCCTTTTTCCAATTTAACTGTGTCCTTTGTTGAAACATTTCTTAGGTCCCCTTTTCTCCATTTCCACTACTGTCCTGGGATTAGATCTGAGTCCCCCTCTCAATGAGATTAGTCCAGAAATTGTGTAGACCATCCATCTTGCAAACCACTGCCAGACTCTGTTGACTTTTCATTATGTAACTTCCCTATGGGAGAGGTGAGTTACATAATATGATGCTAAGATGCCCCTCACTGGTGGCATCATATACATATTTCTCAGTCTGAAAGGAAAGGTCTTTTTAAACTGGCTTCAGGCCATCTCTCCAACTAATTCCTGCCTGAAACTCCTAGTATTCCCTCTACTACAAGGTCTCATCGCTTATTCTGTTACCCACCACACTCATTCCATCTTGGGCTTTGGTTCATGTGATCCGCTCCATGTGCGCCTTCTCTCTAATCTAATCACCATGCACCTGTAAGATCAGCTAATGTCCCATCTCCTTGACCCCAGCCCATTCATATCCCTATTCTCTTAGCAGCTATTGTCGGGACCACACAGTTTTCATGACAGTTATTCTTTCATGGTTTTATTAGTTAAGTCTCCACAGGTAGACTGGAAGCTCCTTAACTTTGGACCCTGTCCTAAGCTTCTGTTATATTCTCTGCAGTGCCCAGCCAAGCTTATGTGTCATGCGGTAAAGAATAAAATAATTTTGACCCTGATCAGGTATTTGGTTACATAAAAACTGCATTGGCGACTTTCTGGAAACTAACATGTTGATTTATCTTGCAAAAAGTATTGCTATCTGATTATAGCCAGTAGTCATGATCTTCCAGCCATGCACAAATATAACCTTATACTTCCATGAGTGGGGAGGAAAAGTGATGAAGACTGGAGGTTTCAAAGGTGATCATCAGCCCCAGGATTTCCAACAACAGCTGGTCTGCACTGGGTCCTTAACTCTCTTTTAATGTTTTTATATTTGTATTTATATTTTTTTTAATGCAATCTTGCTCTTGTCGCCCAGGCTGGAGTTCAATGGTGCTATCTCAGCTCACTGCAACCTCGGCTTCCCGGGTTCAAGTGATTCTCCTGCCTCAGCCTCTCGAGTAGCTGGGAATGCCGGTGCCCGCCACCACACCAGGCTAATTTTTGTGTTTTTAGTAGAGACAGGGTTTTACAGTGTTGACCAGGCTGGTCTTGAACTCCTGACCTCAGGTGATCCACCTGCCTCCCAAAGTGTTGGGATTACAGGTGTGAGCCACCACGCCTGGCCTCTCTTCTAATGTATTTGACCACTCCTTTTTCCCCCAGAGAGCTCCTGTGAGAACAAGCGGGCAGACCTGGTTTTCATCATTGACAGCTCCCGCAGTGTCAACACCCATGACTATGCAAAGGTCAAGGAGTTCCTCATGGACATCTTGCAATTCTTGGACATTGGTCCTGACGTCACCCGAGTGGGCCTGCTCCAATATGGCAGCACTGTCAAGAATGAGTTCTCCCTCAAGACCTTCAAGAGGAAGTCCGAGGTGGAGCGTGCTGTCAAGAGGATGCGGCATCTGTCCACGGGCACCATGACGGGGCTGGCCATCCAGTATGCCCTGAACATCGCATTCTCAGAAGCAGAGGGGGCCCGGCCCCTGAGGGAGAATGTGCCACGGGTCATAATGATTGTGACGGATGGGAGACCTCAGGACTCCGTGGCCGAGGTGGCTGCTAAGGCACGGGACACGGGCATCCTAATCTTTGCCATTGGTGTGGGCCAGGTAGACTTCAACACCTTGAAGGCCATTGGGAGTGAGCCCCATGAGGACCATGTCTTCCTGGTGGCCAATTTCAGCCAGATTGAGACGCTGACCTCCGTGTTCCAGAGGAAGTTGTGCAGTAAGTCCTGCTCCTCTGTCACTCTTCTAGATAAACCATTAGAATTCATTCATTCATCTTCAGGTGTTCATTCTCTGTTACCATGTCCCAGATACTGCGCTGGCAATGGGTTTTCAACAAAGGCCAAGATAAACACAATGTGCTCCAGGGGCTTACACTTTGACCAAGGAGACACTCTTTTTCTTTTTCTTTTTGAGACAGAGTCTTGCTCTGTCGCCCAGGCTGGAGTGCAGTGGTGCGATCTCAGCTTACTGCAAGTTCCGCCTCCCGGGTTCACGGCATTCTCCTGCCTCAGCCTCCCGAGTAGCTGGGACTACAGGTACCCACCACCATGCCCGGCTAATTTTTTGTATTTTTAGTAGAGATGGGGTTTCACGGTGTTAGCCAGGATGGTCCCGATCTCCTGACCTTGTGATCCACCCGCCTCAGCCTCCCAGATTGCTGGGATTACAGCGTGAGCCGCCGCGCCCGGCTGAAGACACATATTTTTATTTATTTATTTTTCAGAGACAGGGTCTTGCTCTGTCACCCAGGCTGTAGTGCAGTGGCATGATCAAAGCTCACTGTAACCTCAAACTCCGGGGCTTACGTGATCCTCTTGCCTTAGCCTCACAAGTAGCTGGGAATACACGTGTGCACCACCATGCTGGCTTATTTTTTAATTATTTGTAGAGACAAGGTTTCGCCATGTTGCCCAGGCTGTTCTGAAACTCCTGGCCTCAAGTGACCCTCCTGCCTCAACCTCCCAAATGCTGGGATTATAGGCATGAGCACCCAGCTGAGACAGACATTAAATATATAATTATACAAATAAGTAACTATAGTTGTCACAGTGTAATGGAGGAAGAATTCAGGACACGATGGAGTGTACAACCCCGGGACCTGACCTAGGCCTGGGTGCTCAGGGAGATTGCCCTGGGGAAGGGACACATAAGTCCAAGCCACAGAATGAGGAACAGTAGATAGACAAAGTTTTTCTTCAGCACATGGAGCTGCCCTGGAATTCCCTAAGTTGGAATTCATGAGTCGGAGTAGGGATAGGAATGGAAAGGCAGAAAAAGTAACAATCTCTCCTTGGATGGTGTGGAATACCATGGCATTTTTGCCCCATGATGGTGCTGGCAGAGGATGTTTTCTCAGCTGACAAAGAGGTCCAGCGTATACGAGGACCAAGGTGTGGTCCTGGCAGCTCCCTGCCTGTTAAGATTGTAGGGGCCATTCCTCACCTGCCAACTCTTTCTGCAGGAAGATGCTTCTCGGAGCTGCATTCTTCTATGTTGCAAGCTTTCTTCCCTCTTTTGCTTTCTAACCCTCTTTCCATAGATCTTCTCTGTCCCTTCCTTCCCGCGCACTTTCCAGTTATCTCTACCCCTGCTCCTGCCCCCCTCTTCTCAGCAGGTCGGCCTGCATTCTCTGCAGTTTCCTGCCTCTCTGGCTGCCTTTTTGTTTCTTCCTTCTCCGGGAGGGCAGGGGGCCAGCAGCCCAATCCGGGAAACTCGCGTCCTGATTTGGTAAACAATGTCCCACCCTGACTTATCCATTCCCAGTGGTCCCTGTCCCCTCCAGCTACCATGAATCTTTGATGGGGAAATAAAAAGAAATAATCTATTTTTAAATGTCTATTTGTAAATGATCTATGTGTAAATATCTATTTGTAAAATGTAAAATATCTTTTCCTAGAGCAGGGTGGAGAATGAGCTTTAGAGCCAGACTCCGCACCCACTCCCCTGGAGGGGCACCCGGGAGGGGGTTCTCAGAATGTGACATATTCTAGACCCCTAAGATACAGGCTCCAGGGAAAAAAGGTGTGCTTTTGATGTGTATTACACAAAATCCCCTGCTGAGAACTAACCTCAACAAGTGCAGAGATCTCATTTGTTCTTGACTCCAGAATCAAAAGATTTATTTAAGAAATCAATGCCGTGAAGAAGAAAGAACCTTTTTCCTTGCAATGCCACTTGGAAAGTGTTCAGAAGTGCCATTTCCCTGGCACTGCAGAGGTCGTGTTGTGGTGTGCCGTGGCCCAAGTCAGCTGGAACACTTTAATCAGCAGGACACACTGCAAGCATTTCCAAGGTTTATGACTTTAAATGACTTCTGCAGAATTTATGTTTCCCCTTTCCTGAAAATATTAAAAGGGAAATTGGTTCTGTAACCATTTTGACAGTTTATTCATTTGTGTTGGAAAATGTTAATGGAGGGGTTCTTTTTATAATCATTCTGGATTTATCAGAAAATGGAAAGATAACATGATGAGGCTGAGGAGCTACACAGTGGGACTGAGCACCCCCCTCCGCTCCCATGGTGTTGAATAGGATATACCAATGTGGACTTGTCCATGGAAAAACCATCTCTGTGTGCTTTATGGCAAGGCAGCAAAATGAAAAGGCAGTTTGGACTTTTCCTCCCTTCATCTTCTTTGTTATAATCTGGAAGCTCTAAGAAAACATCAGTGTTATCCCATTTGTTCCTGTGGCCTGAGAAATGAATCCCCTGTGAGTACCCCCATCCACTCTGCAGGAGACACGGCTGCTGTCTCTCCCTGCACTGCACTGCCAGGCTTTGCTCAGCAGACTCAGCAGCAGTCTTGAAAGGCTGAAGAGGCCCCAGGGCCTCTTTATCAACTGCACAGTAAAGACGGCAGTAACTAACATTTATAAAGCACTTTCCCGGATGTTATCGCAGAAAGCCCCGGGAGGCAGCAGCACACTCCTGCCTTCTCTTTTTACAGGTTAAGGAAGTTGCTAAGTGAATCACCTGAAAAACAAATAGCCAAGATATAGTTGGATGCTAATTCCAAATCTCTTGCTTATTTCACTCCTCTTCATGTTGGGAATTATAAATTCCTCTTTTAAGGTAAACTATTTTCTGATGGCCACCTCCACAGTCCAGCCTGGCCAGGTAAACCTACCTTGCAGTTGGCATTCACCTGAAATAGGTGAAACTCTGAAGGGAGCCTTCGTAGGAGGAAGAGGAGCTGACTCTAGCTGTACAATCTTGAGCAAATGTTTGTGCTCTCTGAGCCTCAGTTGCCTCAACTGTAAAATGGGATTTTATATGCAGAAAGTAGATGAGTGAACAGGTGTTGTAAACGGTAGAGCCCTATTCAGTGTGCACTGTGTTATGTATTATTACAATCAAATACACTGAGGACCGATGGGCTAGGCAGATGGCCTCAGTTTTGATCTGCACTCAGATGATTAGACAACAATGGTGAGCATTTTCCAAGTTGCAGATGACATCTCTGAGGTTTCAGAAGTTTCATTTGTTCCTTAAACATTCATTGAACTTGTAAACCAAAAAGTATCTGAGACAAGTCCCAATCAATTTAAAAGTTTATTTTGCCAAGGTTAAGGACATGCCTGGAAAAAATGAACACAAAATCACAGGAACAATCTGTGGTCTGTGCCTTTTTCCAAAGATGATTTTGAGGGCTTCAGTATTTAAAAGGGAGAGAGGGAGGGCATGGTCACATTACTGAACCCACATGTTGCAAGAGAAAAGGAGCAGGTAGGGGAATAGTCAATTATATAGTACTCTAGCGCTCAGTAAATCAACACTTTACATAAGATAAGGTGAACATAGAGTAGCTACTTATGGAGATATTTAACCTTTTATCTGTAGCGATCTGCTTAGGAACAAAAGCAAAGGCAGTTTCTTGCATTACTTAGCTTTTAGCTTAATTTTTTTCCTTTTGGCATAGTGAATTGGGATCCTGAGATTTTATTTTCCTTTCACAAACTATACCCCAATAATAGCTAATCTTGTCCTGTGCTAGGTACTTTTAAATACAGTATTCCATTTAATACTTAAAATAGCCCTTTGAGGCAGGTACTATCATTACCTTTTTTTTCTTTCTAAGAGATAGGGTCTCACTATGTTGTCCAGGCTGGCCTCGAACTCCTGGGCTCAAGCAACAGCCTCCCAAGTAGCTGGGACTACGTGTCACTATACGTGGCTCTATTATCCCTATTTTACAGAACTGGAAATTGTCAGGGTCTGCCTGGGGGCTCCAGGAGAGCTTTAAAGACAAGGTGATACTAATCATTACTAACATTTCTTGATATTAATGTATGCATATGTTGTTTCAGGCTATTAGCATATGTTAACTCACTTTATTCACACAACAAACCTGTCAAGTAGATGCTCTTTTAATTCCCATTTTATGGAAGAGGAAATTGAGAACCAAAGAGGTTAAATAACTTGTCCAAGATCACACACCTGTAAGTGCTGGAGCTTGTTTTTTGTTTTTGCTTATTTGTTTGTTTTGTTTTGTTTTTTGAGATAGGGTCTCACTCTGTCACCCAGGCTAGAGTGTAGTGGCATGATCATAGCTCACTACCGCCTCAAAGTTCCATCCCAGCTTGGACTACAGGTGTGTGCCACCATAAATGAACAATTTTTATTTAAATCTTTTTTTTTTTTTTAAAGAGAAAGAAACAGTGTCTTACTATGTTACCCAGGCTGGTCTTGAACTCCTGGGCTCAAGCAACCCTCCTGCCTCTGCCTCCCAAAGTGCTGGGACTACAGACATGAGCCACTGTGCCTGGCCTGTAAGTGGCAGAGTTGAGATGTGAGCCCAGGCATTTTGCAGGCAGAACTGAAAATCAATGCTGCATCTGCAGATTGGGACAGGCGGTGTCTGGGTGTGATCAAGGCAGGACCTTTATCATACAGTGAGGAATTGATTAGACTCTGGAGTCAGACCTCACTGGGTGAGAGTCCTGGCTTTGTCTCTTTGGCTGTCTGGCTGTGAACCTGAGCACAGTGGAGGCTTTATACCTGCAGCCAGGGACTTCCCATACCAGCCACAGCAAGGGGAATCCTGAGGTTGCATTCTCAGGCCACCCCTGAGACCACCAGGGAGAGGCCAGGTGCCCTGTGAATTGAGGTCTGTCTACGAGATGACCAAAACCCACACATCCTGGAGTCTGCCATTTTTGCCACCCAGTAAGAGAAAACACCGAATCTAGGGGCTGCAAATGCTGTCCCAAGTGTTC